TATGTATAAATGTTTATAATATATATATATATATATATATATTATATTACGTATATATATATATATATATATACGTAATATAGTGGACATCATGCAAATTATTAAATGAACAAAATAAAACAAACAAGCAAGCAAACAACAGAATATATGTATATATATTTATAAATTTATGTTTGCTTAGGTAATAGCGTTTCTATAGAAGCAGTAGACTACGTATATCAAACGGAGATGTTAGACCAACTCAAACGGACGGGGAGGCCGGAGATGGTCGTTGGGTGGTACCACTCACACCCAGGCTTTGGATGCTGGTTCTCAGGTTTGCTGCTCCTGCTGCTGCTCTTGCTGCTGCTGCTGCTGCTGCTGATTATGCTGCTGATTATGATGATTATGATGATGCTGCTGCTGCTGATTATGATGATTATGATGATGCTGCTGCTGATTATGATGATGCTGCTGCTGCTGCTGATTATGATGCTGATTATGATGATTATGATGATGCTGCTGCTGCTGCTGATTATGAGGATGTTGCTGCTGCTGCTGATTATGAGGATGTTGCTGCTGCTGCTGATTATGATGATGTTGCTGCTGATTGTGATGATGCTGCTGCTGTTGCTGCTGCTGCTGATTGTGATGATGCTGCTGCTGTTGCTGCTGCTGCTGATTTGATGCTGCTAATGATGCTGCTAATGCTGCTGCTGATTATGATGCTGCTGCTGTTGCTGCTCCTGCTGCTGATTATGATGCTGCTAATGATGCTGCTAATGCCGCTGCTGATTATTATTATTATTTTATTATTATTCACACCCTGGATTTGAATGCTGGTTCTCAGTTAGACATCGGAATGATGCTGCTGCTGCCGTTGCAGCTGCTAATGAATGCTGCTGCTGCCGTTGCTGCTGCTAATGAATGCTGCTACTGCTGCTGCTGCTGCTGCTGCTGCTGTTGCTGTTGCTGTCGCTGTTGCAGGAACGGACGTGAATACGCAGCAGAGTTTTGAGCAATTAAATCAACGAGCGGTTGGTGTAGTGGTCGATCCGATTCAATCAGTGAAGGGAAAAGTAGTAATGGATTGTTTTCGTTTAATCAACCCGCACTTCTTGATGCTAGGTATTACTACTACTTACTTTTCTATATCCTATTTATTATTCTATTTGTTATTATTTTTGTTATTCTTTTTGTTTTTCTTTTTGTTATTCTATTTGTTTTTCTTTTTATTATTCTTTTGTCGTTCAATTTGTTGTTCAATTTATTATTCTCTTTGATATTCAATTTATTATTCTACTTGTTATAATTTTTGTTTTTCGTTTTATTCTTTTTGTTGTTCTTTTTGTTATTCTTTTTATTATTCTTTTTATTATTCTTTTTATTATTCTCTTTGTTATTCGATTTATTATCTTACTTATTATTCTTTTTACTATCCAATTTGTTATTCAGTTTATTATCCTTTTTATTGTTCTCTCTATTATTCTCTGTTATTCTTTTTGTTATTCAATTTATTATTCTTTTTATTGTTCTATTTGTTATTCTGTTTATTATTATTATTATTTTTATTCAGCTAATTAATCCGCACTGCTTAACGTTAGATATTATGCATTATATATATATATATATATATGTTATGTTATGTTAATCTTCGGTAGAATTCTTTTTATTATTTATAGTATACTGTACCTACAGAATAATATTTCTTTTTTGAAAGCAACAAGTTAATTATATATATTTTTTTATATTTGTTTAGGTCAAGAGCCGCGACAAACAACTTCGAACATAGGGCATTTGCAGCGACCTACGATAACTGCGCTTGTTCACGGTTTAAACAGAAATTATTATTCGATTACTATTAACTGTAGAAAAGGAGAATTAGAACATCAAATGCTCGCAAACCTGCATAAAAATAAATAGAATGATGCGCTGAAACTACAGGTATATATATATATATATATAAATATATGTATATATATATATATATTATATGTATATATGTGTATTATATATATATGTATATTATATATATATGTATATATATATATATATATGTTTATATGTATAATATATATATATATATATATATATATATATATGTTTATTGTATATGCTATGCTTTATATATATTATATATATAATGTGCTTTTTATATTGTATTTATTATATATGCGTAGGCCTATGGGTTGTTTGTTTCTTTTTTTCATTAATAGCTATGTATATATATATATACTAAATATATAAAAAATATATATATTATATAATTGAATGTGTGTGCACAATAACAAATGAAACGATGCACCTAGACTCCAGATTATATATATATATATTATATAGTATATATTTATATACATTTATTATATATATGATTGACATATATATATATATTTGTGTTTGTTGAATGTCTTGTTTTATTTGTGTATATTTGCATGCAGAACTTTGAAGAGCATCACCGCGAACGCGAGGCGAGTGTAGCTGCATTAAAAGATTTAAGTGCGAAGTATATATCAATGATTGAAGAAGAAATAAAGAAGAAACCAGAGCAACTGCTAGTAGATAGAGCAGGACAAATAGATGCAAAGATGCGCCTTCAAAACACTATTGATTCTCTTCTTACAGATACACTCTTGCAAAACCTAGGAAGCATGATTTCTACTCTCGCATTCTAAACCCTAAACCCTAAACCCTAAACCCTAATGGGAATTCAAACATCCTTTCAAACCGATGCTGCGCACAGCCGCATTTCTCTCCTCCTTTTTTATCACAAAAACAACAAATGCATAAAACAGCAGCATTAAAACGAATTCAAACATAGCAGAGCTGCTGTACATATCTTTGTATATATATAATATATATGTTGTATACAAATGATATATTGTAATAGGTCTGTAGTACATCTATATAGGTAGGTAGATGGATTTATTTTTGCAATATAAGTATATTAGAATATATTTTTATGTTTGCATTCATTGTTTTGCTCTAAGATGTGTACAGCCCTTGGGAAGTTCGCGTTCTTCGCTGCTCCGTTTTAATACTGCATTTACTTTCTGCTCTCTACAGTATATTAATTCAAATATATAGATTTCGCTGTACGTGAATATATATGATGAATGCAGGTTTAACGGTTTATTATTAATTGTTTGTATGCTGCGGCTGCTGCAGCCTCCTAGCCGTTGAGATTCTGCAGTTCTTTCACTAGTGGCTATCGCATTTATAAATATCTATGTAATATTATTTACGCTAATATTATTATTGTTACTATTGCAAGGTGCCTATACACCGCGCTACGCAACAGCAGCTGCCTCTGCACGCCAATGGGATGTGCATGAAAGACAGAGAGGTTGGCTGTAGAGGGATGTCTTCTTTTCTAATTGAGAAATAATATATTATTACGATTCCAATGTTAATATTAATTGTTTTTTTAGCATATTAAGGGGAGAAATGCACGAAGGACTGCAGACGCCGGGTTTAGAAGAGAAGGTAATAACCGGTGGTTAGTTAATTATGTCTGAGTGGCTATGGCGTTGGAATATGCGGGAAGGTTGTGTTCAAATGCCGATCTATAGTTTAGATCCTTTTAAATATTAATTAATTGATAGTGTTTACCTTCTTTCAACGAAAAAGTTTCCATTAAGTTCGATTTCCTTTTCCTTTTCTGCACAAGGGCGCGGCGACGACCTTCCCGGTGATCTTCGACTGCCGATGCGTCTGTCGTAAAACAGAAAAAAAAGCAGAAAGTTGAGTGAAAAGGAAAAAGCAAGAGCAAATAAAGTATTCGAAATTAAAGTAAAAGGCTTATTAACATATCAAAAGAAACGGGGGAACGAGAAAAATTCAGGAAATGAATTCACGAAATCCGCTGATTATCAACACGGGTTTCATTTTTCGGGTGTATGCACAGCTCGTCGATAGACGACATCGGCTTTAGATTCAGCCTTCTTTCTTATTTTTTGATGTATTTTTAGCTTTTTTCGTAAATAATATTTGTTTTAAAACATATTTATCCTTCCTTGTCCTTATTTTTCGCGGATTGCCTCCATTTGCCGTCCGTCTTGATGCTGTTGATGTCGCAGACTTCAATCGACTGCCTCACCGCAGTTCATGTTTCGTCTTCTTCGTCATTGAAACCCCAAACCCTAAAACCCAAACCCTAAACACTAAACCCTCAACCCTTAATTCTTTAGCAATGGATCGGTCTTCACCTGCCTCGCCGCCTGCAGGTGCAGATAATTTACCTTCGATTTCCATGTCTGCTGTTTCGGCCGGCGATGCGCAAACCAACACTTCCGCCTCTACCTCTTTCAGTCGCTCAACAGAACAACAAGATACTCCTTTTTCAAGGTGCCCTTCCATAAGATTATTGCCTCCCGCTTTAAGAACTTAGGGATAAAATGTCTAGACTAGGGCCTAAGATTTACGGCTTACGGTTTAGGGTTTAGGGTTTGGGGCCTACACAGACAAAGTGTTCCTCCATTCTGCAAGTTCTCTATTTTTCATCGCATTGCCTTCGTGGATGTTCCCTCTGTTGTCGGTCATCTGCTTCATTGCTTCAACCCTAAACCCTAAAACCTAAACCCTAAACCCTAAAGCCTAATGTGATTGCACTGGAGTTTTTCAAGACAGACAGGGTTTTTATTTTAAATTTAGAAATTTCGTTTTGCATTTCCGAACAACTCTGTTTTTCTTTTTGTTTGTTGTTTGTTTGTGTTTTGTTTGTTTATTTGTTTAAAAGGAATAATAAATTGTTGAGTCTTGAAGCCAGCAGCTAAACAAAAGTTTATTGTAGATATATTTTTAAGTGAATGAATTCTTTTATTTGAATTCGCAGTCCACGAAGATGTCCTTCAAACATCAGCCGATTGGCAACAGAGGCGGGATCGTCGATCCCTGCAGCAGCTCCGGGATCGTCGATCCCAGGGTCTTCTGCTACTTTTGCTGCTGCTGCTGCTGCTACTACTATTACTACTACTACCACTTCTTCTTCACCTTTAAGGTATTTATACATTTGTTTGCTTTGTTCTTTGTCTCTTTTTTGTTGCTTCTCTTTCTTTTTTTGCTTTTCAAAGATGCTGTTTAAGTGCAGTTATATAAAACAAACCCTTTAGAAACTAATTTATTAAAAATAAAAAGAAATATATTTATTAATTGAATTTATAAGAAAGAAGCGCATCTATATATATATATATATATATATATTTGTGTGTCTCCTTTTAATTACTTCAGCAGCACGCGAGCTGATTCAGGGAGACAGCAGCAAACAGAAGTACGTCTATATTTGTGTTTTTTATTTGCTGCCGCTGCTGCTGCAGCAGCAAGAAAACAGTAACAACAGCAGCAGCAGCAGCTGTTGCTGCTGCTACTGCAGTTGCTGAATATGCAAAGACAGCAGCAGTTTGTTGCTCAGGTGGATAGCGCAGCTGCAGCAAGAGCAAACAAATGCTTGTACAAACAAACCTGTTAATAAATATATTTACAAACAAAGGGATAAACAAATAAGAATATAAACAACAGAACACGAAGAGTATGCCAGTTCACGGTTTAGGGTTTAGGGTTTTAGTGTGTAGAATTGCTCTTAAACCCTAAACCCTCATTAAACCCTAAACCCTCACTAAACCCTAAACCTCGTTTGTCTCTTTTCTTTGTTCAGGAGAACGACAGCCCCCGCTGCATACAACACCTTCCTCAGCTGCAGCAGAACATAATCAATGTACAGCACTGCAGCATGGCGTCTTTGTCTTTTTCTGTATTTGTTTGTGTTTGCTCTTCTCTTTTAATCTCTTCCCTGTTCAATCAATGCCTCAGGCTTTAACGCTTAGGGTTTAGGGTTTAGGGTTTAGGGTTTAGGGTTTATGATGGTGCGTTTTTATTGCTTTTCCTCCTTGTGCTCGTTTGAACCTGTTCCTTCAATAGTGAAGAGTCAATAAGCACATGCTTAGGGTTTAGGGTTTAGGGTTTAGGGTTTAGGGTTTAGGGTTTGTGAGTCAAGGAGACTAAGAAGACTAACAACAGAATAAACTTTTGCATGCAAGAAGCTGCTTTTTAACTGTTTTTGTTTTCAGGGTTTACTGGTGTTTATAGGCGTTGTTGTTCTGCTGAGTGTAATTTATGTAAGCAAAACTTTTTTAAAAATGTTTGTATGGGTCTTCTATATTTATTTAAATTAAATAAATGATGCATTTGAACCCGCAAGATATACATCTCAGCATACACCTGACGATGCTCAGCTGTATGTACACATCAACTTGAAATAAAATAAGAGACTGCACATGCACAACCCCTCAATTTATTTGCGTTTCGGGTGTACGTACAGTTCCCTGGACAGGCGATGAGGGCTGAGAGGGAGCAGGAACAGCACCGGCTGCTGCAGCAGCAGCAACAACAACAAGAGCAGCAGCAGCAGCAGCAGCAGCAGCAGCAGGACGTGGAACTGATACAAGACGATCCGCAACAAGAGCTGCAGCAGGAGCTGCAGCTGAGCGCGGTAGAAGCAACAAGTGCAGCAAATGAAGCAACAGCAGCAACTGCAACAACAGCAGCAACTGCAGCAACTGCAGCAAACAGCAATTCACCGCCTGTCGGTGTGCTTACTAAAGCGAAGAACTTAGCCTTAGAATATTGGGGACGAGGTGCAGCAGAAATCTGTTTATTTGTTTTTTGTTTGCATGCATGCAATTATTTAAATGCATTTCTTATATCCGAGTAATATATATATATATATATATATATTTTCTGATTAGTGTTCTACTATGGTAATACATTAATATTTAAAGTTAAATGCATAGAGAATTTTTCTTTTAAGCCGATGAATATGTGTCTTAATAAATATATTTATATGTTTAGATTTAAATGTATATTATGCTGCGGTGTATGTACAACTCATTTGTAGGCCCCTCTGGCTTTCCTTCTTATTTACTGAAGAAAGAAAATAAAGTATGTATAATAAAAATATAATTTATATTCTTTTAATTAATAAGCAATGCAAAAAAATTTAATTAGATTTGCTGTTTTGCTGCAGCTGCAGATACACCTGAGTCTGCTGCTGCTTTAAATTGATGAAAATATATAAATAATCAAATTAATATATTTTATATTAATTAAATTTGTTTAATTATACTCTGATATTAATTTTTTTGCTTTAATGCAGCAAAATGAATACAGCCTCCGCTCTCTACGCGGTTTCGTACGGTAGTGACAGCGCAGAAGGAAGACAAAAGAAATAAAAAATAATATTATTTTTATCTTTTTAATTATTATAAATGCTTCAAACACCAGTAAGGCTGCTGTCCTGTATATGCGTAAACAATTTTTTGTTTAGTTGCGTATATATATATATATATATATATGTACATATGTTTATATATATAATTCTATGTATGAATAGTATGCACATATACAGATGTGCAAGTGCATATATATATATATATATATATGTATATATATATATATATAGCAATGCATTTGAATTAGGGTGTAACAACGACACTAAAAGAAAGCGAATCTCTAACAAAGACAAAAATCAAACAAAGGAAGAGAAGAAGACGAAATATGCGTAAAAGAAAAATGTTTTGTTTGCATGCAGCTGCATGCACAACTCAATTTATATCTTTTGTCTCGTCTACAGTCTTTCTAAATACTACATATATATTAGTATATATATTATTTGCTGCTACAACAGCAGCAGAAGCAATAAACAAATGCATTTAAATTAATATTAGCAAAACTCTTAAAACTGAAAGTCATCTGCTTGCTGAAGAGATGTGCATGCATGCATGCATTAGATAATTATTAAACTAATACTATTACTATAATTATCTTCTATTACTACTAATATTATTATATTTATTATTTAAAGGGTTTATTGCTTCTAATCCTCTTGATTTGTTTAGTGGGTTTACTGCTATATGGATTTATAAGCAAAATAAATAAAATAAGACAGACAGCAAACATTTCGCGATAATAAACACTTCAGTAGAAAAGGGATGTCTATATTTTTTGGTTGTTTGCACTGAGGTGTCTGTACACCTGGTGCAGCAGACCGATTAATTTCTGCTTTCATTTATCTGCTGCTGCTGCTTCTGCTGCTGCTGCAGCAGCTGCTGCAACAGCAGCAGCAGCAGCTATTCATTAGCTGACGACATAATAATAATAATAATAATGAAGTCAGCAACAAATAATATACCCAGGTGTACGCAATGGAGACAATATACATATACATATAACTAATATATAATTAAAGCAATAATTATATATTAATATATACATATATATATAGATATTTAGATATCTATTTATATATTTATGCTTTCTTCTTCGCAACACCGACTGTTCTACCGTGCCTGCCCGTCGTCTTTGTGTGCTGTCCTCGCACTTTTAAGCCCCAGTAATGACGAAGACCTCTATGAAGCCTCATTTTCTTTAGTCTTTCAAAGTCTTCTCTCCAGACAGAGTCTAAGTTATTTGCAGACACATGACGAGACTTGCCGTCCTTCACGTCTTTCTGTCTATTCAAGAACCACCAGGGGACGCTGAACTGAGTCGGGCTAGCAACTATCGCTACAATCTATTCGCACACATACACACAAATATATATATATATATATATTTATATATATATATATAGATTTATATATATATATATAGACTTATATGTATACATGTACATATATACTTCTTTTATCTATTTATATTTATTTATATTTATGTAGATTTATATATATATATATATATATTTATATAGATTTATATGTATACGTATATATATACATTATTTATTTATTTATATTTGTTTGGTTGGTTGTTTTATTTTTTTATGTAGAGAGTGCTTTTATTGTTAGGGTTTGTTCGGCGTATAGAATTATTGTATCATGCATATACATATATAGACAAATATATACATATAACATTTATAATATATATTTACAAATAGATACATTCATATATAAATAAATAATAAATATATATATATATATATATATATTTATATATATATTTATAATCTATTTCGAGGAGTACTAAAAAAAGTGAGTGCGGGCTGTGCAAGAAAATGACGATAAGCAGAAACAAAATAAATAAATGCAGATATATATATAGATAAATATATAAATGAATACAAATATAAATAAATTTATATAAATATATATATATTAATATAAATGAATATACACATATATTTGTATACTGACTAAAATAAAATACAAAAACCTATAATACAAAGAACGAAACAAAACAAAGCACAAACATATCCTAGAGAGAACTACTTTCTCTAGATTGTCTTGAAGAAGAAAGCAAAAGACAAACATATATATTACTAAACAACACCTGCTGTCTTGTACAGACAGCTGGTCGCCTTGTTAAGAACTAGATTAAGACAAGAGAAACAAAAGTGCAAAGAGAAAGACAAAGGAAGCTGCCTTTAGGTGAAAACAAATATATAATGCTGTGCATGTACACCGTATGCAGCAATCTCTCACCCGCACAAAACCCTACACAGCAGAAACAGCAGCGGTGAAAGGCTTTTAAATTGAACAAGTCTGGATAAGAAACCAAGATTAGATATGAAATAGAAGAAGGAAAATGCAAGAAATATGCTGTCTGAAGTTAATGTAGGGCTACATACAAGAGAATGTAGTTGGATATACACCTAAACATCTTTATTTTAGGCTGTTCTTACCTTGCTGATTTCATCTGCTGTGAGTTCCCCTGCTCTCTTGTCGGTGTCGATGTCTGCCTTTTTGCAAATTAAAGCGCTAATGCGCCTTCCGATACCTCGAATAGCAGTTAAAGCAATCACAACCTTCTCTCTTCCATCGACGTTGGTGTTAAGCACACGCAAAATGTGCTGAAAATCTGCAACATTCGTGGCTCGGAGAGACATCTTGAAAAAATATATACCAATAAAAGGGGAAACCCAACAAATTAAAGCATTTAGAGGCGAAAAAACCTCATTGTTGTAACTATTTATGTTCTGTTCACATTCCTATTCAACTTGGGGCTTGAACCCCGCACGGGGTGTATGTACAGCTTCCCCACACCGACGAACACGGTTTCTTGCATGAGTGTTTAATATTTGTTTTTTTAGGGAATTTTTAGGAGAATTATGGTTTGAAATATATTTATTTTTATATTTTATTTTATATAGATGGTAGTAAAGAGAAAAATCTCCATCAATACATCTCCGATCTGCAGCCGTTCAACATGCGCCAGGCGCTGTGTTGGGCTCCTGCAGCGAGAGGGTAAGCGGAGACGTATTAATAATATAGGGGGAATAATAGGTTGTTTGAATGGTTTTGTTTTATATTTTCAATTAAAAATCCATTTAAAAGACTTAAAAAGCAAATATGTTCAGTGACTATCACCGCTGTTTAGCTGCCTCAGTCTTCTTCGTGCCTCTCGGCTAGTTGCTACCGCCGACTCAAGAGAAGGCTCGTAGAAGAGATCAAGTAAATTTTTGTTTCTTTTTTATCAGGTTTGAATTCATTGCATTGATTGATTATAAAACAACTTCATTTAATGCTTTGTTTAGATAAAGACAAACACAAAAACCTGCAAGGCTCTTAGTTCTTGCGGTATTCACCAGTGGTTCGGCAGCATCTGCTGCTGTGCAGCAGCAAGAGTACTACAGCACATCTCCCGTGGGGTGTATCGACATTGTAAATCTTATCAAGATGGAAGTAGCTTCAGTTGTTTGGTTGGTTTTAGGCATTACATTTCTCGTTACCCTGATTGCTGTTCTTACAACTACCTGCTTAGGCCCTGCTCTTCTTCGCTGTCTCTCTCTCCCCTTTGCTCTATTATATAAATGCTTCACCGGCAGAGATTTATTTCCTAAGAGAAGCAGACCTCTTGTGTCTGCTGATTCGAACATACCAAGTGCAGCATCACCTGCTTCTCCAACTTCCGCTGCTGCTGCTGCTGCTGCTGCTGCTGCTGATGCTGCTAAAGCTGCTAAAGAAGAAGACAACAGAAGCACCAACAGCTCAAAAAACCCGAGGGCTCCTCTCAGTGATAGATATTCATCAAATAGATCAACAGACTCGAACAGAACAAACAAAGCAAACAAACTGCATGCACAAAATAATATACAAGACTCCACCAGAAGCTCTCCCTTAAGACACAACTTAATAGGTAAAGACAACAACTCGCCTGCTGCTCCATCTGCTGCTGCTGCTGCTGCTGATTCTGCTGCTGATTCTGCTGCTGTTCCTACTGCTGCTGCTGCAGCTGCTGATGCTGCTTGTGATGCTGCTGCTGATGCTGCCGCTGCTGCTCGTTCTGCTGCTGATTCTGCTGCTGCTGCTGCCCCAGCCTCCACAGGGCCTGCTGCGGCTGCTGCTGCTGCTGCTTTTGCAATTCCTGTTGGTGTAGAGGCTTTCGATTTGCTGCTGCTACCGGTGCTGCTGCAAGTGCTTCTGTTAGCTGTCCCCTTGCTGCTGCTGCTGCTACCGCTGCTGCTGCTGCTGCTGCTGCATATGATGCGTTCGTTATGCCTACGTTGCTGTCTGCAGGACAATCGAAAGCACCAGCAGCACAAGAAGAAGCAGCAGCAGCAGCAGCAAGAAGAGCAGCAGGTGAAGGGTCCTCAACGAGTTCTAGGTGGAGGCCAGCAGCAGCACAAGCAGCAGCAGCAGAAGCAGCAGCAGCAAGGAGAGCAGCAGGCGAAGGAACTTCAACAAGTTCAAAGTGGAGGCCAGCAGTAGCAGGAGCAGCAACAGCAGCAGCAGCAAAAGCACCAGCAGCAGAAGCACCAGCAGATAAACCCAAGAAGGAAGAACGCGTAGGCGTCGGCAGCAGCAGCAGCAGCATCAGTTCATCTCCTACCGAAGCTCAGGCAGCAGCAACGGTTATATCAGCACAAGGAGCAGCAATTGAAGCAGCAGCAGCAGCAGCTGAGAAATCGGCAGAAGAGGCAGCCACTAAAGCAGCAGAAGCACAAGCAGCAGCAACAGAAGCAGCAGCAACTGATGCAGTAGCAGCAATTGAAGCAGCAGCAAGTAAGGCAACAGAAGCAGCTGATGCAGCAGCAACTGCAGCACCACCAGCACCTGAAGCACCTGTCTCTACACCCGACTGCCGCATTCATGTTTCTTTTGATAGTGCAGCAGACGCAGCAGCGAGTCAAAGAGCAGAAGCAACAGCAGCTGCAAACAAGGATATTGAGCGAAGCCCTGCATCCCTTACCTTCTCTCCTGCTGCTGCTCCTGCTGCTGCTGCTGCTGCGGATGCAGCAGAGGCCACAGTTGCTGCTGCTGCTGTTGCTGCAGAAGCAGCTGCAGAAGAAGCTGCTGCTGCAGCAGCAGCTGCTGCAGTACACGTAGATGATTCGCTGGTTTGAGGGGTTGAAGCAATTCTTGTCTTTGTTTTATTTATTTATTTGTTCGTTTTATTTATTTGTTTGTTTGTTTGTTTGTTCGTTTGTTTGTTTAAATGCAGCACAAGTGATATTGTTTATTGTTTGCTGCACTTGTACTTGTCTCCTTTTCCGTGTTCGTCTGTTTTATTATTCTATTGCCGCTCTTCTTCTTTTGCTGCCTCCCCTTCAGCAGCCACCAGCAGCAGCAGCAGCAGCTGCTGCTGCTGCAGCAAGCAGCTGCAGCAGCAGCTGCAGCTGCGACACAGGGATTGGTTGAGAAGACGATGTACTTTTACAGTTTTTAATATAAATGCATTCAAAGTTAAGCACAAAAACTTTAAAAATGTTTATGCGTTTACTGCATCAGCTGTACAGACAAAAGCCTACACAGTAAGAGCACCAGCAGCAGGAGCTGCTGCTGCTGCTGTTGCAGTTGCTGCAGGTGCTGCTGCTGCGGGTGCTGCTG